TTTTGTATTTCCTTATATATTCTGCAAATTTTGCATTGAAGGAAGACTTTAACTTTAAATAAATTATGGTGTATCTGAAAGAAATGTATGTTATAACTTCCAATAAATTTTGGTTTTGGTTAAGAAAATCCTTCTCGTCAGTTTTAGATCATTGCTAAAATTATCTAAAATCTGGCCAGAATGCCTGTAGTTTCGAGTTCTCTTTACGCGTTGATAACTTTCAAGTGAAATATTCAGAAATACGCAAAGATGTTGATAATACCTCACAGTAAACATATGAATCTAATAATGTGTGTTTTAGTAAAAAATCGAAGGGCTTTTGAAAAAGGCCCCTGATTTGCTATGATTTCGTGGAAAATTGACCCTACCCTCTTTTTTTTATTGTTATAAAAAGGAAGTGAAAAAAAAGGTATCAATTCGAAATAGATTTCAAAACATCTTATCAATATATTTTAGGATTAAAAATTTTTAAACCAAGTTAATAAAAGTATGTATTGTTCAATCAATGTAAATAATCAAAACAAACTTTTACACGGAGGAGTACATGCGATGAGCTAACATATATCATACGGTAATTAGAGAAAGGTTCCGATTCAAGTATTCCTAAGTTAAGTGATGACTTAAGTAATTTTATGCATACCACTTAAGAATTTTACTTAACTAAGGGAATTCTTAGTGAAATCTAAGTTAAAGGAACACTTAAGTTAAGATGTTTTATGCATACGGGCCCTGACTCTCTTGAAAGGATAGTTTATGAAAAAAATATTTCCTAATAAATATTCTTTTGTGGCACCCTATAAACAACAACTAATACTGTGAAAACTGGACAATTTAAAGAGAGGTGTCGACAAATTAATAATTTCATAAAAAAATACAGAGTTACTGTTAAGAAAAAAAAATGAAGAATTATAGAGTTATTGATAGAGTTTGCAAACATTCAACCAGGAAACTCTATCAAATTGAAAATATGTGTGCTGCTTTTGTATGCAGGTGTCGAGACTTGTTTTGTTGATATTATTTGAAATAAATCGTATGTATGCGGTATTCGCTTTTCAATTCATCAACATTGTCCACTTTGAGATTGCCCCTATATAATAATCTGTAAATGTCATCATCAATGTAAATATAAAAGTTTTAAACAGTTTTCGAAAATGTCTAATTAAAGAAAGGTTCCGATTTAAGTATTCATAAGTTAAGTGATGACTACAGTAATTTTATGCATAGCACTTAAGAATTTTACTTAAGTGAGGGAATTCTTAGTGACATCTAAGTTTAAGGAACACTTAAGTTAAGATGTTTTATGCATACGGGCCCAGGAGCCTGTGATTCAGTGGTTGTCGTTTGTTGTTGTATATCATATTGGTTTTTCGTTCATTGTTTTGTACATAAATCAGGCCGTTAGTTTTCTCGTTTGAATTGTTTAACATTTGTCATTTCGGGGCCTTTTATAGCTGACTATGCGGTATGGGCTTTGCTCACTGTTGAAGGCCGTTTGGTGACCTATTGTAAACTTCTATATCATTTTGTCTCTGGTGGAGAGTTGTCTCATTGGCAATCTTACCACATCTTCTTATTTTTATATTATCTACAACATAAATCAATCAGCTGTGTAATTTGAAGATGTGTTACAAAATGTACGTTATAATCAATAATTGCGTTGTCGTTTTTACAATAGCATATCTGTTTAAAAATACATGCAAACATTTGGTCAAATGAATAGGTAAATGATGCATGCTGTGAACGGACTTTATAAGTAAACTCAAACATTCTTTACAATAACAGTTTATTATAATCTTTGTAATATCAAAATATCACAGACAAGTTGAAAAGGACGGAACAAGAAACACAACATATATCAGCATAAAAATATATCATCACGACCTGGTTCTTGTTGGGTTCATGTCATGATAAAGTTTGCAATTCACATTATATAGATACCTTATTTATAGATTATGACGCTTAGTGTACCATTTCAATATCATAAATAAATTACACATGAGTTCATTGATTGTGTATGAAATAAAAGAAATTATAGGTTAGATTATAGGTTAGATTTCTTTTGATTTCACCGTTATTAATCAATTACAGTGTTGTGGCGGATTTGCTTTAAATCATTTTCAAAAATGATAAAGTTAATCTCTGAGTTAATGTACCAAATTGTAGTTTGTTTTGTTTCCATGATGTTGCCTTGATTTTCATAAAGGTCATGTGAATCGTTTTATGGACAGACATTTGTAAACATTTCTTTTTTAGATGTTACAATACGAAAAAACTTATTTCCAATTCATCAACTCTTTTTTTTTTTGCTGAAATTCATTCAAACTTAAATTTTAAATATTAAGTTTACATTTCAATTATTTCTTCAATCATCTATAGATGAATTCACAGGGTGAATATAATACATCATATTCAGTAATTTAAAGTATTTTTACTTTGGCAGGCCTTGCGATTCTTTACTGTGACCTTGTATTCTGTTTTAACTTCCAACATTTATAGAAAACGCGATACAAAGTGTGTATAGAATTTTTTAACCGAACAGCTTTGATTCAGAAAAGTATATAAAAACTGAGAACCGAATATTCACAAGTTATATATATGTAACAGTATGAAATCTATACACCAATGTCTCAAAGATGTGAATTACACTTGTGAAATCACAAGGAGATAACAATATAGGATGTACGATTGCTATAGGGAAAAGTATTTTCCCAATATGATTTGAACAAATCGAAATTATCTCTTAAACTATCTTAATTATGAATAATTTCTATGTTTAAGCACGGTATGGAGTCGTTATCTGAATTAGCGTGTATTTGACAGAGAGGAAAGAAACACATTTCGCGTCAATCTGAGTAATTCAGTCCCTCTCTGTAATCATCTCTCCTACTTGTGAAATGTACCAATCATAGAGCAGCGAAAAATAACGACTGAATTATTCGGGTCACTTTTATCCTAACGGTCTCAAAAATCTTGATCGGTTTCAAAATATTTTAATCTAAATGATGAGCTTGATCAGTCATTAGTTTTTTTATCCACATACGTTTCGATAAAGTTTATATTAAGTATAGAAATTTAGTACACATGACCTTTACTGTGCTTAAAATAAAATATATTAAATATTGTGACTCGTGCTTGTAAAACACAATACAAAAATATAGAAATAAAAATCTCAGTACAGTAAATAATACTTAAAAACAATTAAAATATAAATATATGTATGAACAATACTGAAAATAATCTAAACATTAGTCAGCAGTTGATTTGTTTTGGTACAAATTTATAACATAATATAATTCAATAATTAAAAATTGGACGGTTTTCTCTGTGAAAAAAAGGCATATTTACAGGGCATTTTTCTCGAAAGTCTAGGGTAAGATTCGCATTTGTAAATTTTTTAATAAATATGATTAATTAATGAAGGATCAGAAAAATAATTTAGTGTATTGGTAAGTGGAAAATTGGTTTCACTTCATTAAACAGTGAACACATCTCTGGTCAAGGTTTAGTTAGTTTGGACTGCCTTTCATTTTAATTTAAAAAACGTTTTTTCATTGGTCACTCAGTACAGTGAATTATATTGGATTTAGAATATAGCAAAGTACTCTCGGCCAATGAAATTGTAGAATTGGATGCCTCTTAATTGTGAAGAATGAATGTAAATCATGTTCTTAGTAAGGGATTATCCTATTATTTGGGTCTATTTACAGTTCAAAACAAAGAGTTTCTATAAATGAGTTACAACTGCCCCGAAGCACATTTATCAGATTGAAAGGATTTATCACACAGTGATTGAAACTGACTAAAAGTTGAATTGTGAAACAAACAAAAATCTCAAAATAAGTTGAAGTTTACTGGTGCAGTAAAATTGGTACCGTGAATTTTATTATGAAAATATTACTATAAAATTAAACAATACCAAAGCAATGCAAAAAAAAGTAAAAAAATTCTTTCAGATAAAAAATAACCTAAATCTTATTGGCTGTGAAATAAAATTTAGTTGTAACTCAAATGTATTAATTGATTTAAACTGTAAATAAAAAAGGATAATTCCTCACTAAAATATTACATGATTTACATTCATACTCACAATCAGGAAACATACAATTTCTACCTTTTCTTTCTACTGTTATGTCACCTTATATCTATAACGCATTTTTTTAAAAATATTTCCCAAATGATAAGAAAGTCCTCACATCACTAAAACTTATCCATAAATGACATGTCGAAAAAGGAAGTCATGCATCAATTATAAACATTGCACTGATAATGAAACTAATTCTTGAATAGATCATTTGAGCCTTGAGCACTTTACAATATTCTAAGTTTGTAAGAGAATGATAATCCCTTACTTCATGATAAGTACTCGCTAACGCTCGTACTTATTCATGAAGAAAGGGATTATCGTTCTCTTACATATACAAAGATTTCAGTTTAAAAGTATAACTCACTACTAATTATCACTTTCAGAAACACCAGAAAGCAAGTAGTCGATATTTTTAATAATTTAAATTTTTATGTTTAAAAATGCCTTAGTTTGTCGTTGAAACTTCGATCAGCGCAGTTAATTTGTTAATGAATATTTTCTTTCGTCGTTTGTTCATTTTTTTCATCAATCCCCCCCCCCCCTTTATTCTTGTCTTTTGATATGTACAATTGATCTAATTATTACTTTAAGATATCCTAGTGTATATTTTGGAGAATGTCCTATCTTTTCACATATGAAATAGTCTGCAGGTGCAGTCTGACTCGACCATAATAAAAATTTCCTTGCAAATTTCTGTTCCCTGTATGGTTCCAAGTCTTGAGATTTTGGGTCAAGTAGGATATACGTATATACAGTTACTGCTGAAGGATTAAGAAGTGATTAGGTTTTTATGATATATGATGTACACTGTCAACTAGATGGCAGATTGACAGGAACGACAAGTTGACAGAGTCTACAAATTGACAGAGTCTACAAATTGACAGAAACGACAAGTTGACAGAGTCTACAGGTTGACATGGATGTAAATATACTGAATATGCATACTGTCATTATAAAAATAAACTAGTTGTTAATTTTACACTTACATGTAAATAGTGCATGCCATTGAGACAGCATCCTTGTAAAACAATGTTAATCTCTGTAAACATTGTCAACTTGTCGACTTGTCAACTTGTTGACCCTGCCAACCTATCAACCCTGTCGACCCTTTCAACTATTTGAACCTTGTCAACCCTATATAGCTAGGTTACCGCACCAACCTGTCGATCACAAATTAATTAGCAGACGATCTGGTCCACATGACTTTATGACCATGGTGTATGAATTTTGAATACTTTTACCGGAACTATTTGTACGTATAAATACTTTATGGGTAGTGAATGTCGTTATACACCCCTTAGCATTAGTTGTACAACAACCGACCGTGCGAGACCTTCATGTGTAGTCAAGGTCGTTAAACTTCCACTAGTAGTAGTTGTACAACAACCGACAGTGCGTGCGAGACCTTCCTGGGTAGTCAAGGTCGTTAGACACCCTCTAGTAGTAGTTGTACAACAACAAAAATTGACAGTTAAGTAAACGTTTTAGATTTATTGTTATCAAATATGGAAAAATATTTCAAAATTAATCGGACGGAGACAGCTTCTACAAATAATAAAATATCTTAATTCTCACTAAATCAAAAACCTTTAGCGAGAAAACGTCGAAAGACACATTACAATTTAACAAGAATATTATAAAATATATATATAAATATTTATTTGCCTAGTCTTGAAATATATCTTCACCGGAAATTTAGACGATGAAACTTTTTATACCCGATTAAGGTACTTTTTAAAGCGATGAAGACAAATTTCAGAACGTTCACAACGTCTCGCTCAAACAAGAAAAACAACTACTTAAAATGACTTGAAGCGGTACGTACATCAATAAAATTAGTTCATCATACTGACAAAAAATTTCGTCCTTCTACAGGTAGTCACAACATGGTAACTGAGGGCTAGGATAGGTTTAAATAAATAGTTAGCAATTGTCTTTATACAATCAGACGAGTCCAAAAAAATCACTAAATTGATGAAAAGAATGCACCTAAAATAGCGAATTCAAAAGAAATATGAAAAATATTGAAAACAGAATAGGACATATCCTGTCCCTCATTACTAGCCGTAGAATATTCCTGTTCCCTTTACTAGGCATAGGATATTTCCTGTCCCTTATTACTAGATATATGATATCCCCTGTCCCTCATTACTAGCCATACGATATATCCTGTCCACTATTACTAGCATGAATACCTTCAATTCGGAACATACATGTATACTACTCATTTTTTAAATTTACTGAATACATTTATATGGAATATCCTATTATAGAAACATGAGTATTAGTTATTAAACACAACAAGGATAATGAAAATGTAAGATATATATATGTATCTTTATGGAAAAAAAGTAGGTCAACAATTTCTGCTTCAATTTAAAAATGGTTCACGTATTACACGAGAATCATCTCAGTTGCTTAATGTTAACATGTTAGAAATACGTAAGTATTAATCTAATAAATGGGACGGAGTTGTTTAATTAAGAAATATGAAATATACACTGTGTATACAAATGCATGACAGGTACACACACACAAAAAGTGACACTAACAAATAAAAGATCAATTGAATCACATCAATTTAAATCCTGATAAATTAAATGAAAAATGTAAATCTATGATTTGTACATAATGAAATAAAGCATGGTATTAAACAGATTTCGTTCTCGTCGAACACAGTACATACTTTTATAAGTATATGACATCTCATATAGGATGTAAAATATGATAACAGTCTTTTACAAACCTTGCTACAAAATAATTCATTTACAAATATAGCTCGATGCAGTAATTTTGTCAGTATTGCAATTTTCAAAATCATTTTTTTCACATCTACAAATGAAAGTTTCAGATTCGTTTCGCACAAATGTTTCTGTTCAATAAAATTTAACTATAAATCTTTGTTTGTATAAAGACGGATATGCTATTCTGTTAAAATATATTCTACTCTCAGACATGTCATCGTGTGATTTTTCCCTACGTTCAAATCATATACTCTATGAGCGAAAACTGTGTTGCTCATATAAATGAGTGAGCTATCAGTCATCTTTGTCGAGTATACCAAGTTTTTGTCCAACCCACTTGCATTTGGCTATAATTTCGTCTTGCATTAGTGAGAAACACATAGACAAAATAGCCATTCCAAATAAGACATAAATTGCACCAAGAATCATTTGCGCCGTTGCTGTTGGGTTATCGAAATCCGTTCCAGGGACTACGTCTCCAAACCCAATGGTACTGAGAGTAATGAAACAGAAATATGCCGATTGTAGATTATCCCAGTTCTCCCATAATCCAAACAGCAGTGCTCCTCCAAAAATGTATCCTGCAATGACAATCATTGTGACGGTCAACGGTACTGTTATCTTCTTGTCATCAAACTCGTCGTCGTCGTCATCATCATCGCTATCATCATCACATACTATTGGTTCGCTTCTTACTTGTTGAGACCTATTCGCAAGCTCTTGTTGTGTCTTGAATGATTTTATATCCAATGGGACAATCTTCACTGGTTTAGGTTGCTCCGTTCCACCACCGATTCCTCCAGTTTTTACGCCTTCTGGGGTTTTTGAGGGAAGGCGCGAAAACTCTGTTTTATTATAGTCAGTCTGCATTGGAGCTGAGGCTGTTATTATCTTAGATTTATCGCTGTTCCACGCTCCTTCTGGTTCCTTTGCAACAGGTTTGATTGTAACTACCTTTGTTGTTTCCTTCTGTCTGCACCAGCCACAACAACAGATCTTTGCGTAAATAAATCGGAATATGTCAGCTAGAACATCGCCAATGTTTGCCAGGCAGAGCAACATCAGAGGAATCCCCAAAACAGCATAAGCAATACATACCAATCGTCCCCAGAATGTTTTAGGTGCTATATGACCATATCCTATAAAAAAAAATAAAAATTAACATTTAATGTATAATAGAATAGTGAAATGTAGTTTAGTTATCTGTTTGTGTCTGTTGAAGACGAATATTTATTTCCATCGCATATTTTGCCATCTCGAAAACAGGAAGTTTTATTGTATGTTAATGCTAGACAGTTGGCAGTACAAATTCGCAAAAGTACAGTTTTATCCTAGTCCAGTGGACTGGAATATGCCATGAATATGATTACAATATTAATATTTTGATAATTTAAGTTCGTTAAAAATCATTTTGCAATATCTTGTACAATGTACCAGGTAAAGAATCGAACCTAGCAAACTATGTGATCCTTTGACGGTCCATATAATTTGTTAAAGATTCCCATCCATCCTGCAAAGATGAAGATGCTATTTCGATATTTTTATGCCCCCGCCGAAGCGGAGGGGGCATTTAGTTTTACCCTTGTCCGTCTGTACGTACGTACGTCCCAAAATTGGTTTCCGTTCTCTAATTTAAGTTTGCCTCAACCAAACTAATACACAATGCTTATTACCACAAAACACAGATAAAGTTTGAATTTTGGCGGCATCACTTTAACCTTTAGAGTTATGCCCCTATATAAATGGAAAAATTGCAAAATTTTTCATTTCCGTTCTCTGACTTAAGTTTGCCTCAACCAAATGTTATGAAACTTATACACAATGCTTATCACCACAATACACGGATCAAGTTTGAATTATGGTGGCGTCACTCTTACTGTTCTAGAGTTATGCCCCTTTACAAATGGAAAAATTGCTAATTTTTTTATTTTTTTTCTAAAAATATCAATGATGCCATTGTTCATGGAATTTTATACGACCGCAAAAAAATTTTGCGATCGTATATTGGTATGACGTTGGCGTCGTCGTCCGAAGACACATTGGTTTTCGCACTCTAACTTTTGTTTAAGTGAATGAATCTCTATGAAATTTTACCATAAGGTTCAATACCACAAAAGAAAGTTTGGGATTGATTTTGGGGGTTATGGTACCAATAGTTAAGGAATTAGGGGCTAAAAAAGGGCCAAAAACAAGCATTTTTGTAACTTCCAGACATAACTTGTGTGTTAGGATCTCTCTGACATTGTACCACAAGTTCCATATCACAAAGGGAATGCTGGGACTGTTTTTGGGGGTAATTGCCTCAAAATGTTAGGAATTAGGGGCCAAAAAAGGGGCAAAAAACAATCATTTTTCTAGTTTCATGACAATAACTTGTGTGTTAGTGTATGGATCTTTCTGAAATTGTACTTAAGGTTCTATATCACAAAGGAAAAGCTGGAATTGAGTTTGGGGGTAATTGCCCAAAATGTTTAGGACTAAGGGGCCAAAAAGGGGCTAAAAATAAGCATTTTTCTAGTTTCCAGAGAATAACTTGTGTTCAAGTGTATGGATCTCTCTGAAATTGTACTGCAAGGTAGCATACAACAAAGGGAAGGCTGGGATTGATTTTGGGGATAATTGCCTCAAAATTTTAGGAATTAGGGACAAAAAACAAGCATTTTTCTAGTTTCCAGACAATAACTTGTGTTCAAGAGTATGGATCTCTCTGAAATTGTACTGCAAGGTACCATACCACAAAGGGAAGGCTGGGATTGAGTTTGGGGATGATGAATCATAAGGGGGTTCAAAAAATTTGGGGGGGGGGATTTTTTTCCCCCTTTTTTTCTTTAAAATTTTCCATTTTAAATTGGTTATTTCTGATTTATATATAAAAGCATATAATAATGATATGGTTTGAATAGGTAAATTAAAAAATTTAAAGTTCATTCTGTGTCAGAAACCTATGCTGTGTCAAATATTTAGTCACAATCCAAATTCAGTGCTGTATCAAGCTTGAATGTTGTGTCCATACTTGCCCCAACTGTTCAGGGTTCGACATCTGCGGTCGTATCAAGCTGCGCCCAGCGGAGCATTTTATTAAAATTGGAGTTATCTTCCTTTGTCCATGATTATAGTGAATCAACTACAATCAATGCTTTATACAATGCAATGTTTACTTTTGCCTTCCACTGATAAAACACAGATCAAGTTGAATTGGTAGTGTCACTTTAACCATTATTGAGTGATGCCCCTTTATAAATCGAAAAATTGTAAAATTTTTAGTTTCCGTTTGCCCCAACCAAACATCAAACCTATTTACAATACTTAGTACTACAAAACTAAGATCAAGTACAAATTTGGGTAGCGTCACTTTTATTGTTCTTGAGTTATGTCCCTGTATAATGTTGTATGCAAGCGGGTGCATCATCTGTGTCCATGGGGACACATTCTCCATTTATTTTGTATAATCCGCCAACACATTTTTAAAATATCCTGTATACAAAAATAATAGTTGTTAATTGTATAAAACCAACTCTCAACTACAAATGGTAATGAAAGAATTATATAGGCATCCCATATTTTTTAAAACCAATAAAATGTGTTCAGCATGATCTGCTACCCATAGAGATGAAATGAATCCGTATGCTTGAAGTAAGATTAGCATATGTTGATACTATATTATCATACATGAAATTGAATATTATGTCCAGAACAATGCAATACATAGAGGTGTATACGAATGAAAGTTATGATAGATCCGAATTTTATTCATAATGCACCAATAAGAAACCGTACTTTTTCTTCAATTTATTTACCTAAAACTATTATATCAGCTGCAAAATTATTATTATATGTATGCCTACATTGCATTACACAATGGAAATTAACAATGTATATTTATATAAACGATCAAACTTGTAAACGAATAAATAAATAACTATCCTACATACAAGATAATATATACAAATAAATACATAGAATATTAACCCTTTTAAATACATAGAACATAAACTACATCACTACTACCTGTACATCTAGTCACTAAATACAGAAACAATGGTGTCTTATGATTGAAGGTATGTTTCACGCAAATATTAACTTCTCATCATAATTTTTCTACGAAGTTTTAAAGCTATTTTTACTTTTCTCTGTTTTAACATGTATCATATAGATATCTGCTTCTTTCTGAAATAATATCAATGTTCGAAGGCATATTCAACTGTTCATATATTTGCATCGAAAACTGAATTATAAAGACTATAAAACGTGTAGTAAGTTCACATACTTTCGCTCTCTGAGATTGATAAATTAAGGGCATGTGATACTACGGAAGCCGGTCAGTGTCAAGGTGTAGTTTTGTTTTTAAGTCGTCATAACGACTTATCTTATTCGTTAAAACAATTTAGCTAACTCGTTATAACGACTTAGTAACTTGCTATAAAAACTTATATAACTCGTTATCACGACTTAACTAACTCGTTATAACAACTAAGCTGAATCGTTATAACGACTTAGCTAACTCGTTATAACGACTCAGCTACTTTCTCAATTCCAGGACTTAACTATACCCCATAATATCTTGGTCTTGATTTATTTTCGAATGTCTTCTTATTTATAGATTTCTTAATTTCGATTAAGTGCACATTAATTAGAAATAGAAGTTGGAAGATGTATAATTGCAAAAAAGAAATTGAAGATGAAATACGTTTATTACTTAAATGTCCTAAATACACAGAAGAGCGCAAGTAATTTCTAGAAAATGTAGAACTTTATAAGGGTGCCAAATTTACTGATAAATCTTAATGTGTCTGGCTCGTGAGTATGGAAGTGAAATTGAATCTCGTCTTAGTTGCGTAAAAATGCTAATGGCAATTAAAATAAGGTCTCTAAAATGCATATTTCAAATTTTAAAGAATTAACATGAGGTTGTTTTAAGTAGTGTTCTGTCTTATAAAGGTATGGCATTTTATTTATATAATTTAATTTTGTTTGAAAATAAGGCTAACCAAATAAAACATACTTATTACAATAAAACGCAATTAGACAGCTTATTTATGGCGATATATCAACTTATAAAGCATTAAAATGGTGTTCTTTCAAGTATCTTTCTGTTACCAGATTCAAGCTAGTGAACAATAAGTCCGCGAAAAATAAGTTGGATTAAGCAAGCTAACAATAAGTCAGCGACCAATAAGCCAGCGAACAATAAAGTGTATCAAGCTATCGAACAATAAGCCAAAGAAGAACAAGAAGAAAAACGCACCAAACTGATCATGCCTAAAAACCGAAGACTTGCAATAGCATGAATCTGATGAGTAATTTTTTAGTCCGATAGACTTGTCTTTGAATTTTCAATATCGTATAAAGTCAATAGATGCCTATGCATGTTAATCTTTTGTGTTAATTTAATGACCCGTTGACTTTTACTGATTATCTCCTTATTCTTTAAAAATAGTATAATATAAGATTTGGCTCCTTCCTTCTCCCCATATTAACAGGTAACCACTCCCCCTTTTTAAAGTTCCTTGATCCACCACAGATAAAAATAAGCAAAACAAAAATAGGCTTCTGCGATATACCTCTTCCGTTTGAAAAATTCATCAAGACAAAATAAACAATTCAGATTTATAAGTAAATGTCTTTAAATCTGACATCCCTTATAAACTTCTACATTATCTAGAAATTGCTTGCGCTCTTCGATTTAGCTAAATTGTTTTAACGAGTTAGCTAAGTCGTTATAACGACTTAAAAATAAAACTACACCTTGATACTAACCGGCTTCCGTGCGATACAGTTTTGATCCCACGGTGATTTTTTTACGAAAATTTGCATACAAGGTATGATTTTTCACCTAGTTAATTCAAATATGTTATAAAAAATATACTTCATGTGCTATTTTTAGAGAAAAATGGAGTCTCAATTTTAGACATCTACTCAAAATTTCGGTTTCTTGGACATTTCCATCTTTTGGACGGACATACCTAACTTTTCTGTTTCAAAAGATAACCACGAGCGGATTTTTGTAAAAACATTTTCTTTACAAAACTATGCTTTAAATAATTATGTTCATCATTTGTTTAGAAATAATTTATTTTTATCAAATTTTCATGATTTTAGACATTATTTTGCTGAATACTTATCTAATTTAAAAAAAAAA